TTCTAAAATTGAAATGGAAAGGCACATGACCTGGAATAGCTAAAGAAATTTTGAAAAAGCAGAATAAAGTGGGAGGAATCATTATACCTGATATTAAGGCTTACTATAGCCAGGCCTGCTGGTCTAGTGGTTAAGATTCGGCACTCTCACCACTGCAGCCCAGGTTTGTTTCCTGGTCAGGGAATCAAAAAACCCATCAGTTGGTTGTCATACTGTGGCAGCTGCTTGTTGCTGTGATGCTGAAAGCTATGCCACTGGTATTTTAAACACCAGCAGAGTCACCCATGGGGGACAGGTTTCAGCGGAGCTTCCAGACTAAGACAGACGAAGAAGAACCTGGCCGCCCACTTCTGAAAAAATTTGCCATGAAAACTCTATGAAGAGCAGTGGAGCACTGGCTGATACAATGCCAGAAGGTGAGAGGATGGTGCAAAAAGACCAGGCAGGGTTCCACTCTGCTGTCCACAGGGCCACCAGGAGTCGGAATCGACTTGACGGCACTAACAATAAGATAGTATGATACCGGCAGAAGGATAAACACATAGATCGATGGGATAGATCAGAGAACCCAGAAATAGGGCCACACAAATATGCTCAACTGATTTTTGCCTGTAAAAGCAATTCAACGGAGGAAGGATAGACAGACTTTTCAACAAATGGTGCTAGAGCAACCGGATATCCATACGCCAAAAACAAAAACAAAAACAAAAAACACCTCAACCTAGCTCTCACAAGTTATACAAAAATTAACTCAAAATAGATCATGGACTTAAATGCAAAATAGAAATCAATAAAACTTTTAGAAGCAAACAAAGGAGAAAATCTTTAGGACTAGACAAAGAGTTCTTAGACTTACCACCAAAAACACAATCCATGAAAGGAAAAATTGATAAATGACCTTATCAAAATTAAAATATTTTCTCTGTGAAAGACCCTATTAAGTGACGAAAAGACAAGCTACAAGCCGGGAGAAAATATTTTCAAACATATCTGGCAAAGGATTTTTAATCCAGAATACAGGCATAATCATTTTATTGCACTTTGCAGATACTGCGATTTTTACAAGACCCTCCACCAGCAAAAAGATTACGACTCACTGAAGGCTCAGATGATGGTTAGCATTTTTTAGCAATAAAGTATTTTTTAATTAAGGTATGTACATTGTTTTCTTAGACATAATGCTATTGCACACTTAATAGACTACAATATAGTGTAAACAACTTTTATATGCACTGGGAAACCAAAAAATTCGTGTGATTCGTTTTATTGTAATATTTGCTTCATGGCAGTGGTCTGGAACCAAACCCACAATATCTCCAAGGTATGCCTGTATATATATATTTTAAAAATTCCTTAAACTCAACAGTAATAGGGCCGGCCCCATGGCTTAGCGGTTGAGTGCGCGCGCTCCGCTGCTGGCGGCCTGGGTTCGGATCCCGGGCGCGCACCGACGCACCGCTTCTCCGGCCATGCTGGGGCCACGTCCCACATACAGCAGCTAGAAGGATGTGCAGCTATGACCTACAACTATCTACTGGGGCTTTGGGGGGGGGGGAATAAATAAATAAAATCTTTAAAAAAAAGAACTTAAAAAAAAAAAAACTCAACAGTAATAAAACAAACAATCCAATTGGAAAATGGAAAAAACACACATGGGTATTTCGCTGAAGAGGATGCACAGATGCCAAATAAGCATGAAAAGATGTTCAACATTATTAGCCATTAGAGAAATGTAAATTTAAACTACAGTGAGATCACCTACACTCCATTAGAATGCTTAAAATAAAAAATAGTGATAATAGCAAATGCTGGTGAGCAAGTAAAGAAATGAGATCACTCATATATTGCTGATGGGAATGTAGACCACTCCAGAAAGAGAGTATGCCAGTTTCTTACAAAACTATACATTGACTTAACCATACAACTCAGCAATTACACTCTTGGCCATTTATCCCAGGGAAATGAAAACTTATGTTCACAAAAAAACCTGTACACGAATGTTCACAGCAGCTTTATTTGTAATAGGCCAAAACTGGAAACAACCTTCAAGAGGTGAATAAACCGTGGTACCTCCATTCTATAGACTACTCCTCAGCAATAAAAAAGAACAAACTATTGGTTCACACAAAAACTTAGATTGGTCTCAAGAGAGTTATGCTGAGTGAAAAAAAGTCAATCTCAAAAGGTTATATGCTGTATCATTCCATTTAAACAGCATTCTTGAAATGACAAAATTATAGAGATGAACAGATTAGTGGTTGCCAGGGGTTAGGGAGAGGGGAAGGGAGGGATGTGGCTGTGGCTATAAAAAGAGCACAAGGGATTCTTTTGATAAAACTATTCTGTATCTTTATTGTGGTGGTCACACAAATCTACACAATCTACACACACACACACACACACACACACGAATAAGTGCACATAAAACAGGCGAAATCTGAATAAGTCGATGGATTATATTAATGTCAGTTTTCTGGTTACGATATTCTACTATAATTATGCAAGATGTTACTATTGGGAGAGATTAAAGGATATACGGAATCTGTTATTTCTTACAATTGTATGTGAATCTATAATTATCTCAAGATAAAAATGTTAAAGAAAACCAAGCAAGCAATATGTGAAGATGAATGTGAAACAGGAAGTGAGGGTGGCAGTGTTCAATATGATTCCAAAGTTTCAAAAGTTTTGCAGCGCCCCACAGAAACACACATCCCATTCACAAGTAATGGGGATTATTCCTCATGAAACGGTTTGTGAGAAGAAAATCAGAAAGACTCTTCGTTGAACCAAGAGACTGGGTTTTCCAAATGAGACTGTTTAAACTGTCAGAGCAAAATGGTGTGGATTGGCAGATTTAATGTTTAAATTGTCCGCATTTTCTCCTTCCCGCAGTGCCCTGTGGGGCGGGAGGAAGCTTCTGATGAAGAGTAGATCAGTTAAAAGAAAAAAAGAAGCTACGTTCTTTGCACATCTGGAAGTAGTGAGTATATCTGTGATCCTGCTACATATGATTAAAGATGTAATACTAAAACCTTCTGTAACGTAGTCATTGCAATTCCATTTCTAAAAATCTGATTCTAGTGTATTTTGCTTCGATTAAGATGTACCAATGAAGAGTGCAAAAGACTAGGAAAGATCAGTGCAGTCAGAAGTTCTCAGAGGAGGCAGACATGTGGGTTGCTCTCTTAAAACTGTATTGAATAAAGAACACTTTTTAGAATATATGATAGACTAGGTCTACGTTGCATGCAATAAAGCTGAACACGACTGTAGTTTAACAAGAAATGTAACTAGTGTACAAAATTGCTTATGTAGCTGTCATGCAAGAACAAAATATTAAGCTCAGCATTTTCACCAAGCTTCTGTGATGAGCTTTAAAAAAGGCATTTGGAGAAATGATTAGATTTATTTAGTAGGGTATGTATTTCAAAAAAATTAGTTACATGGGTAATATTCAAACCTCTTTCAACCTCTCTTGCATTCCAAATAAAATCTTAGTACAAACACCAAAAATGTTGGTCGCCCCCAAAAGACAGACTGCCAAACTCATAACAGAATACAAGTTTTGAAATAATGTTTATTAAGTAGGATAAAGCCAAGAACTATCAGTTACTGCAAAATTCATGTAAGAACATTTAACAGTCCAACTCTACAAGCATTTAAGTTTCTCACATTAATGAGTGCTGTTTACAGTACTAAAATTCTATCATTTAAACATCAATGATTACATTCCAGAAAAAGGAAATCATTCACGACATCTTTCTACAAAAGACCAAAAATCATAATGAACAGAACCAGTATCCATAATAGGATACATGGGGTGAAGGGGTTAGGAAAAAGAAAGAGTTCTTTACTTTCACAGTAGGAATTGTGTAATGTAAACATCATGTGGCCTACACCACAAAATCCATGAGAAAGGCTGGAATTTGAACACTGTGTATGCATTATTTTAAAATCTATGTTCTTGAGTTTATACTGCATCTGTTCGTACCAATACGTGGCAAATACCTATCACTCTTTCACAAACACTGAACCATTCTAGGGGAGTATGGGAGAAAAAGCCCTTACTTATGTCTCACCTAATGCAACTTTTATTTAGAAGGTAAGTTCTTTGAGTCTTTAAATACCAACATGTACCTCCATTAATCCCTCTCTTTTCATCCTCCTATCCCAGATACCCCAAAAGAACCCTGGTAGTCCAATGTCTTTAGTCTGCTAAGCCTTAAGACTGGGGTTGCTGAGTACCACCTCCACTGGAACAAAAGTACACTTTCTACTGCACCTTCCTTTTCTTTAACAGTTGAGCAGAATCGTAATGCTTTCAAGCATGTGTCTAGATCTCTAGGTCATTAGGCTGCTGCTGGCATGACCGCTGGCTCTACAGAACAGCTGCTGGTCTACAATGGCTAGTGCCCAGTAGTTAGGTTTTTTAGAATTCTGTTTATCATGAAGGAGATCAAAGGTTGTATGTGTGAGTTAGAGGTGGTGCTTCCTGCCTGCCCCATTTGATCTTGCTATGCGCTGTAATTAGCACGGTTTTGCTCACTTCCTTGTTTGTTGTAATTGCGGCAGGAAGAACTGTTTCTGTCTCCAAGAACCAGCTTGTCCCTGGGAGGGGACATGGTGGAGAGAGGAACAGTTGATGAGGAGCCATTGGAAGGGCTCGGCAGAACAGATGTATTGTGATAAGTCTCACATTCCAGACCCTTTGCATGGTCCTTAATGCCCTTGAATAAGACACAGAATAGCTCGATGATGTTCAAGGCAAGAGACACCAAGGACACCACTAGCATGAAGAGGGTGAAGATGCTTTTCTCTGTGGGGCGAGAGAGGAAGCAGTCCACCTGATGCGGGCAGGGGTCTCGTTTGCAAGTGTAAACCGCATTCAGGCTGAAGCCATAGAGGTACCACTGGATCAGCAGGAACGCCACCTCGAAGAGAGACTTGAAGAAGATACTGATGGTATAGGTTCGCAGCAAGCCCCCCCTGAGTTTCACCTTGCCGTGTTCTTCAATGCCATACTTTAACTTCTTCATTTCAATTTCCTGCAAGCGCATCTCCACGTTGACACCGTTGGTTTGGGCAACTTTGAGTTCCTCCTCTTTCTTGTTCAACTTCTCTTCTTTTCGCATGACATAGAACACGTGAGCTAGGTACAAGAGTGTGGGAATAGACACAAATATGATCTGCAGGACCCAGAAGCGCACGTGAGAGATTGGAAAGGACTTATCATAACAGACGTTTTCACAACCAGGCTGTCGAGTGTTACAACGAAAGCCAAACTGCTCATCATCCCAGGCTGACTCAACCGCTGTCCCCAGTAGCAGGACTCGAAAAATGAAAATGACTGAGAGCCACACCTTCCCTCCAGCGGTAGAGTAAGCTTGAACCTTGTCGTGGAGTTGGCCTAAGGCACTCCAGTCACTCATGTTGCCTGTTCGCTGTTCTTTCGCTTAAAAGAAGTGAAGTAGGCACGCCAAGTGATTGCACTCCTTGGAGGATGAAGTAAAATGAAAGAGTAAGTTCAAGCACTCAAAATCATCTCAAGTTTACAAGTCTGCTATTTGGTACCTTCCTCACTCTTCCCCCTAATGAAAGACAGTTGCTGATACCTGATAAAAGCTTATGTGGATTCATTTCATACATGGTGAGTAAATACTTTTAAATAAGGATGTACACATATCGATAATAGGACAAGTTACATAATTGGGGGAACAAAATAGACACATCTAAAGGTCTCCTTCAATTCCAGAATAAAGCAATCTCCAAAGAAAAGGCTCAAACACAGAAACTGACTTAAAAGTTCACATATATTGACTGATTTATCTTCAGACATATTAGGGCCATCACCTCCCAAATAGGTAATGATGTTCATTCGAGCATTATTTATTCAGTGCTACTAGGTACTAGGTACTGTACTGGGCACTGATTCCTCTGGTGAGTAAAACAGACAGAATTCCTGTGGAACTCACGATCAACTGGGGGAAACAGATAATTAAAGGTGCAGTATTTTATTAATTCTCAGACACAACTGATTGTACGATAAACCATTATTTTACTTACCATTCAGAAAGCAATCAAGGCAACCAGTATAAGATGTGCCCCAATTTCAGAAAATTGGGGGGTAATGTATATCTTAGAATCAGTGAAAAAGGCTAAGTGAGTAAGTGAATGTACAATTGCAAATTTAAATAAGTGCCAAGAAGGAAACAAACTGGCACTGACAGAGATTAACGTAAGGAAACCCAGATCGGACTGTATAGTCAGCCAAGCGAAGAGTGGAAAAACTGCTGCATGTGAAGGAAGCAGCATGGGCAAAAGTCTGAAGGGAGAAGAACTCATGGTACTCAAGGAGCTGAAAGGCAGCAGCATGGTTACCAGGTAGAGGCAGAAGTAGCCAACTGGTGCCGGAGGGGGCTCCTCAGGCCTCCGCTTGACAGCAGCAGAGAAGCCCAGAAGCAGAAAGCGGGATTATACTGCGAGGCTGGAGCAAGACTGAGGCCATGGGAGAAATTTCTAATGGCAGTTGAGGGAACAGTGGCAGCTTGAGGGAACAGTGGGAGGGCTGGGGGAAGAGACAGGATGCGATTGAAGGATGTACAGAGCAGTACAGGGATGAGGGTTCTCTGCTAATGGACAGCCAGTGAGTTTTGACGGTGAGAAAAAGTAAAAGAGGATGTCAAGAATCATGGGGCTGGTCCTGAGAGTCTCTGGGGAGGGGAACAGGCGATCAACACTGCAGCTGTGGTGCTGAATGCTGTGGTGAATGAGGGGGCATTTCGCAAAGATAGGTGCCATCCCAGTTAGCAGGAAGTAGCAAGATCAGGACAAAAAAAGAGGAGCTGCTGCTGCCTCCTTATCTGGGGATTAGAAGTCAGGGCCCTGCCAACAGGGGCCTCAATTTAAATACTTATTTATTGAATGTGAACCATTATCTTCAGTTGAATCGTTAGCACATGGAAACTTTTTTGTTAGGACTAAAACACTGATATGCTGCGTTCATTCTTATGGGTTTCTTCTAGGATATTGTTATAATATAGCAAGAGGTTTTTTGTTGTTTTTTTTTTTTATTTCAGGAGGAACAACACTGATATCACCCACTAATCTGTTGAGGGTGGGTGGAAACTGGCCTGGGGCATAGCACATGACTGTGCCACTACTGAAGACCTGCTATTCTTTCTCCATTTCCTCCTGACAGCCTCATTTCTTTATAAGAAATGTTTCTAAGCAAAAGCCTAGGGAAAGGCTTCTGCCTCTAATTCAGAGCATGCTAGACAAATGGATCTTACCTTAAAATGGACCACAGCTAATTGATTACTACATGGCAAAAAATAATTATTTTCAACCAAATCATTTCAACACAGCATCGACTCATCATTTTTTAAAATAAATTTTATTTAGTATATTAAGATAACATTCATAATGTTTAATATTTTAATTCTCTCTTCAAAAAACAAAATCTTTAATTCCCAAAGATAGATATTCATCTTAAACCATTAGGAAAATTAAAAGAGAAAAATATTTCTTAAAATAAACTTAATATGAATTTGCCAACTAATAAGCAATCTTAAATACCATGCAGCTAACTTGTTTCTTGGTTTAACGGCTATTCCTCACAGTAGATTCAGTGAGAAAAATAAAACTTAAAATGAAACCTAAAAAAGGGGCAAGGTTAATGCAATTTACAATGTCTCAATTGCTTGAGTTGGTTACAACTATTCTCCAAGGATAAAAACTGAAGCCTCCCAAAATGTAATTTTTTAGCAAGTAATCAAATTACATGACTTTAAAGTACACACAGTACTTTCTCAGTTACTTAAATAACGCATTTTAGCCAAATTGTCCTCTATCACACAGATTCTGCAAGTAATCCTACTAAGCTAAAGTCACCAAGATCTATAGCTTATAATTAATACATTCTTCAAGGTTAATTGAAAATAAACCTTTAGCAGCATGAGAGTTGGGCATTTATTCTCATTACTTTTTCAAATTTAAACAGAGCTTAGTCTCCAGAGATTTCAAAGTGCCTTAGAAAATTGAGTTATTTCTTCAAAAACAAGTGGGGTAAAATAATTACAAGTGAAGGTTAAAGAAAATAATCCTGAAACTACTTTAGCAGGGTTTATGGAAGGTATCTGATGAAACAAAAAACAGTGCTGTGGGGGAAAAAAAATCAATAATTCTAGTTAATTTAGGATCAAGTTATTAGCAATTTTCTAAAACTACATGAAGTTCTTAAGTTTTTCAAATATTTTGTTGTGAAAAAGTTCTTACTAAGCATTTTGAAAATATATAGATCTGAGATTCAAAGGGATAAAAACAACTGAGAATAAGTCATCTCAGCTAAGCAAACAGTTCATAGGAAAATTAAAAACCTCTTGCTGAACATTATTTTTAAACCGGACAAGATATTTCCAATTTTAAAATATAAACGTAAGATTTCAGGTCTCAGCTCCAACATGTAAAGTGCTTGGATATCATCACTGCTGTCTTTACAAGAAAAAACCTGAACAAACTGGAAATCAAAAACTTTTCTTAGGCTTATCAGAGAATTCAAGACAAAGGGCAAACTGAACTGAAATCTGGAGAGACAGGCAAATACAGAGAATCACATCCAAGATCAGCTTACCTGGAGCAGAAGGTGCTGGAGTAACACACTAGTAAGAAAATGTAAATGGTAATTTTAACAAAGGTTTGCGAGGAAGAACTCCTGGGGGCACAATCTTAGGAGAGCCTCCACACTCTCGTGGCTTTACCTCCAGGAACCTCACCAGGTTCTGACTGTGAAGATCCAGGAACAGTCTCCTCCTCTTTTGAGTAAGAAGAGAGAAATGTAACAATTTTGAATACGCCCAGGGTGAAGATCCAATAAAAATCCTCTCCCTTTTGGGTAAGAGGAAGGGAAAAGTAACCATTATGAAATATGCCCAGGGAAAAAGTAACAGTTTTAAAATAAGCCCAGAATGTTCTCCTTAACAAAGGCTAACAAGAAGAGAGAAATGTAACAATTTTGAATACGCCCAGGGTGAAGATCCAATAAAAATCCTCTCCCTTTTGGGTAAGAGGAAGGGAAAAGTAACCATTATGAAATATGCCCAGGGAAAAAGTAACAGTTTTAAAATAAGCCCAGAATGTTCTCCTTAACAAAGGCTAACACTCCAAGGAAAAATTTACCAGAGCCTTATATGTTTTCCTGGGAAAGCAGAAATTAGCCAACTGCAGCCCCCTCTAGCCTTTTTGTTTCACCTAAAAGGAAGAGGGGGAAAATGGCTAAGAAATATTTCTGAAGGTTGCAGCCCAGGACTCAGGGCCACCAAAAGACTAAGATTTAGTCCTAAGAGTATAGAACACTTCCCCTTCCCTACACTTTACCACCATGTCACTAGGGTTCCAGTACAGTAACAGTGGATTACAACTGAAAGAGTTGCAAGAAACAGACTCTATTTAAAAAGAAGTTCATAGGAAAACCCAAAGACAATGGGAGAGAAAAATAAACAAAAGAAAAAGACACTAGAGGAAACTGAAGCCTCTGGCACCTACACCTACAACAAACATTAAACACAGCCCAGCTCCTAGCCAATTAACATAAAACCTTTCAATAAAGGCCTATTTACCACAGTTCCTATTACCCAATATATCCTATCTTGCTTCTTAAAAACATTAAAAAGCATGCTAAAAGGCAAGAAAAAACAAAGTCTGAGGAGACAAAGCAAGCATCAGAACCAGACTCAGATAAGGCATAGATTTAGGGATTATCACGGATAATTTCAGATAGAGAATTTAAAATAACTATGATTACCATGTTAAGAGCACTAATGTAAAAGTAGAAAACATGCAAGAACAGATGAGTAATGTAAGCATTCACAACTCTAAGGAAGAATTAAAAGAAAATGCTAGAAATCAAAAACACTATAACAAAAATGAATAATGCCTTTAATAGACTCATCAGTAGATTGGACATGGCCAAGGAAAGAATCAGTGAACTTAAAGATATGTCAATAGAAACTTCCCAAACTAATATGCAAAGAGAAAAAAAGAATTTAAAAAAGCAGAACAGAATATCCAAGAACTATGGAACAATTATAAGAGGCATAACTAGAACACCAGAAGAAGAAGAATAAGACAAAGGAAATATTTGAAGGAATAATAGCTGAGAATCTTCCAAAATTAATAACAGACATCAAACCACACTTCCAGGAAGCATAGAGCACACCAAGCAAGATAAATACCAAAAAGCCTACACTTCAATACACCATATTCAAACTACAGAAAACCAAACACAAAGAGAAAATCATGAAAGAAGCCAGAGGGGAAAAAAACATCTTACCTATAGAGAACAAGGATAACAAGTACATCCAACTTCTTGTCAGAAGCCATGAAGTGAAATATTTAAAGTGCTGAACGAAAAAAACACCAACCTAGAAGGTATTCAGTGAAATTATCCTTCAAAAGTGAAGGAGAAATAAAGACTTTCTCAGAGAAACAAAAACTGAGGGAATTTGTCACCAGTAGACCTGCCTAGTAAAAACTGTTTAAAAAAGTTCTTCAGAGAGAAGGACAACGATTTAGGTCAAAAAGTCAGATCTACACAAAGAAAGGAAGAGAATGGGAAAAGGAATAATTGAGGGTAAAATAAAATTGATTTTTCCTATTCTTAATAGATAACTGTTCAAAGTAATAATAGTAAAAATGTATTTGCTGATTATAGCATTTGGATAAGTGAAATGAATGACAGCAATGTTACAAGGGATGAGAGGGAGGAATTAGGAAAATTCTGGTACAGGGTCCTTGTCCTACCCAGGAGGCAGAATAGAGTCATCTGATAGGGGACTTAGATAAGTTGCAAATGTAGCAGTAGCAAACTCTAGAGCAACAACCAAAAACCTTTTTCAAAAGAAGT